CCCATCTTTCTGCCAAGGAGCAGCTGGTGGTTTCCAACTGCTGACCTTGCCAGACTCACAGCCACGATGCCCGTGTTCCTCCATGGCACCCAGCAACACAAGCAACCAGTAGAAGCTCTTTCAGGAGAGAAATGTGTATCTGGTGTGACGCATGGTCTGTTTGTCAGTAGTCCGCCTTTCCATTCTTTCCTAGGCCTTTTGTCGTCGTCTTTACTGTGTATTCCCTGTACTTGAAAGGTCCTGTTACATTCAGGGAGGCAAATATGGCTCCTTTTAGGAAGGATAGGGAACGGTTTCACTGTGTCCTCTGTAGCTTCTCTAGCCTTCGTTTATCCACTTTAATGTCCTCCAGTTATTTCCCTCATTCAGCCACTAACTGTATCTTATTAGACAGAACCGTTCATTATTCATTTTCTTTAAACTGGTACCTTCAGGGTATAATTGTTCTTTTTCTAATCAGATGCACATTTGTAAGTTGTATTTACATAGACTTTTATTGTGAAAATCCATTTCTGACTTCAAGGGTACGTTGTTTTCTGCCTTTAAGTTTGAGTGAGAACCAGGCAGGTGAAGAGCTCCAGGGAGCAAGTGCTCTCATGCTTATGGCTCTGTGCTTTTGGATGACCTCATTCCGAATGGAATGCCTTTTCTACATGGGCACCAGGAAGAGCCTTAATTTTTTCCCCCCCATAATTTCAATTGTACATTATTTTAGAGGAAGTTTTTTTTTTGTTTTGTTTTGGTTTTTAAAGTTCATTTTATTGGGGGCTCTTACAGATATTATAACACTCCATACATCAGTTGTGTCAAGCATATTTGTACATATGTTGCCATCATCATTTTCTATATATTTACTTTCTGCTTGAACCCTTTGTTATCAGCTTTAGAGGAAATATTTATTAATCTCTGTGAGCCCCTCTAATTTCAGTTCTAGTTTTAAAAACTAAGTTCTGGGGAGTTTTCTTTATTACTGCTTTGCTGTTATTTTTTAAAATTCAGTAATTCCTGTGTCCAATCTGAGTTTCCCGGTTGTTTTCTAGATCCATTACCTTTTTATTCTCTCAAAGCAGCATTGTTTTTATTGACAAAAATTAAATTTATCTCCTTTTACCTTGAATATTTTCTTGAAATGTAAAATGTGTTCTTTTGGGAAATTCTGCACTGGTTTTCATTATGTTCTTTGCTGATTAACTTCTCCTTCCTTTAAACTATTGATGATGGTTTTGTTGCTGCTGATTGTAAAGTAACTATCCTATTGAGTAGTAGTCTACTTACTATCATTGGAGCCTCCTGGTGGTACAAACTGTTGTTGCTAATCAGTCCTGTGAGCCCAGGGTCAGAGTCAATACAACTGGTCAACAGTATTAGTAGCATATACTGTAAACTCTTGTATATGTCATTTTCCCTTGTTATTGCCAAGTTCCCACTTGGGTTCCAACTCGAAGTGACGCGGAGTACAACAGAAGGAAACACTACCCCGCTTGCACGTCTTCCTATGTTTGAACCAAAGGGCTTCCTCTTTTTTTCAGCACGCATGGTATTTCTCCATAATGTCATTAATGTATATGTTTTTATATTTTTAAGAATTTATATTTATCTTTTGGTGTGTGTGTGTATATATATGTATGTATATGTGTGTGTATATGTATGTGTATATATATATGTATATAAAAATCAGTTTAGTGGGGGCTTGTACAGCTTTTATCACAATCCATACATCCATCATGTCAAGCAGTTTTACATGTTGCCATCGTCATTTTCAAAACATTTTCTTTCTACTTGAGCCCTTGGTATCGGCTCCTCTTTTTTTTCTTGTAGCATATTTTTGTAATGGTTGGTTTTTAACATGCATGTGAAGGTCAGATTTAATAAAGCCACATTGCCAACTCACAGAGGTGTTCATGGCCACTTTCTCCATGACGTGATTTTTGGTATTCTGTAAATTTAAAACTCAAAATGGATAGAAGGTTGTATAGCTACTTTATCATCCCTTATAACTTCGATGAAAAGCGCCAGTACTCACAGTTTGTAAGAGAACACTTAGTTATGTCACGTGATGGAATGACCCGCCCAAGTGCCTTTTTGTAGAACAGATGAAAAAATGTATTTAAAATATACTAAAACAAATAGGAGGGGGAAAAAAGTCCTACATGTTGGGTGTTTAGCCACTGAATTCTAATCAGGACCAGAGAAGGGTCTCCTTGGGTGGGAATTTGCAATCTTTTAAGTGTAATTTTACCATGTACTACTGGGTTGGATGCAGGGCTTTAAACCAGTTCATTTCTATCCTTGGTTAATTAAGCCTACATTTTAACAAGATCCCCAAGTGATTCTACTAGATCAGTGGTTCTTAACCTTCCTCATGCCATGACCCTTTAATACAGTTCCTCATGTTGTGGTGATCCCCCAACCATAAAATTATTTTCGTTGCTACATCGTAATGTAAATTTGCTATTGTGATGAATCGGGTAACCCCTGTGAAAGGGTCGTTCGACCCTCAAAGGGTTGCATGCAACCCACAGGTTGAGAACTGCTGTTCTAGACGGAGGGTGGGAAGGAGAATTCTCAGCCAAGGGGTGAGCCGAATGAACGGACTTGAAGCCCTGGTTGGGTGGATGTTATATTAGCACCAGGCAAGAATAATCTTAGTGTACACAGACCCTTAGAAGTCACACCGGGTCAAGCACAGCAACAACTCACTAATAAGAATTTGTCTTTGCTACAAATGATGAGTTGAGTGGCTTTGCTTGTAGGAAGATTGGTGACAAATTAACCTGAGACCAAACACATTACTATCATTGAGCTGATTTCAGCTCATAATGCAATCCTATTAGAGATTAAGTACAAAGTGCTTTGTACTGTTGCCAAGGTTTTACATCTTTATGGGAGCAGACCCTCCCCTCCCAAATCGCCCCCCCCCAAAAAACAAGCTCAGTGCCACTGAGTGCATTTAGACTCATAGTGATCCTGTTAGACCGAAGAACTGATGCTCTCGAGTTTCTGAGACTGTGGATGGTTACAGGAGCAAATAGCCTCATCCTCCTTCCTCATTGCTGCTGCTGATTGTGTAGTTAGTAGCGAGTTGCCTAGCCCATTGTACCATGAGAGCAGTTTTTAAATTAAGGCGTGAGCATTTCCAAATTCTAAGATGTACTGCAGAGTTTTTCTAGTGGGAAAATGATTTTTAAAATCATAGTTGAACTGAACCAACCCTGTTCACACACGTGTGTGCTTGTACACACAACACCCTAAATGTTTACATTTTTTAAAGTAAGCTGGAGATTCTGGTGCCTGATTTTTGAACAAATCTTGATTAACGATGTTGGGAACCGAGTACACATTTGAATAAAACATTACCAGTGTGGGTTACTCTGTGTTAACAAATGGAAGATATGCCACTGATCGTAAGAGACTGCTTTTTAATGTACATACTAACAAGAAAATAAGCTCTGCCAACTAAGCTGTTACTCGTCATCAGTTTGAAGAACACTTCCTTGAAGAAATGTCCTGGTTTCAGAGACGGGAATTTGTAAAAGCGTATATCTGAAAATTGATCAAATGGATAACGACAACTACTGGCTGCTTCTCCATCCGCCCTTAGTCCTGCTTCCAGCCTCGCTGCCCCTGCGGATGCTAACCCTGCTTCTCTTCCCTAAGTGTCTGATGAGGGCTTTTCTCCGTCAGAGTCTGTTCGGTTTGTCAGTGCACAGAAGGACACGTGAGGCTTACTTCCTACTTCTTGAAGGCTCGCTGGACGGTGAGGGCAAGGAACGGTCAGTAGAAGACCCAGCTCAGGAAAGCACGCCCCTGAGCTCCAGAGTGCGTTTGAAAAGGGAGAGGGGCCTCACAGAGAAGCAGCAGCTTGCAAGCACAAGCTATACTATAGTACAAGATACTCAAGATTGGTTGGGGATAATTTTTTTTTAAAACATTTATATTAGGGGCTCATACAACTGTTATTACAATCCATACACACATCAATTGTGTAAAGCGCATTTGTACATCATTCGCATTTGTACATCATTCTCAAAACACGTTCTCTCCACTTAAACCCCCGACATTAGGTCCTCATTTTTCCCCTCTCTCCCCACTCCACCCCCCACCCCCGGGGGATAATTTTTTAAAAAGAGGTATAGGTTTTCTTTGCCAATAGATCCCCTACCCCTACCCTCTTTTTTTTTCTTTTTCTTTTCAGGAAGTACATCTTCCTGTTTTGGACACTATTGATTTTCAACTCAGAACTACCCCATGTGACAGAGTAGAACTGCCTCATGGAGTTTTCTAGACCAATGTTCACATCAATAGAGCCCAGAATGAAGCTGGGTCTTATGAAGAAAAAAAAACCCTGAAAATTTGAGGACTCCGACTCTGGCTTTCCAGTGTGACTCAAAATACCTTTCACTTGTAGACAGTAAAATCATAATGATGTCAGGTTATTTGTCCCTCTTGCTTTAGGAGAGCTCTGTGTGTGTGCGCGCGCGCGCGTGCGTGCGTGTGTGTCCATCTCCCATGTGCACATGTATATGTAAGTTTATAATTTATATTTTATTTAATTACATTCAGAATATTTTTTTTGCATTTGATTTTAGCAAGAAGATGTCCAGTATTAAAAAGCAAAAATTAAGCTTGTTCGTGCTTGGGTTTGTTTTTTCCCCCTTTGCCTTAAAAAAATAAAAGTTGTATCTGAGAAGTCCTGTTGGCAAAGTAAGTGGGTTATGCTTTGTGCAGACCGTGAACTATAAAGTCAGCATCTCGACTCCACTGTTTGCTGTGCAGGAGAAAGGTGAGGGGGGCTGCCTGCTCCTGGAAAGAGACAGCCTCTAACATCCAGGGTCCTCCTGCTTGGTCCTGTGCCGTCATTATGAGTCAGAATCACCGCGATGGCAGAAAGGTGGTTGTTTGTCCATCTGTGGGTCTGTGTGTGTTGGAGTTGCTGTTGCTGACACGCCTAGACTTCTTGCTGTTCAATTAAAGACTAACAGACCTGTGCTTGCTTTCAGGTGTCCCGTTTCCCAAAAACTTCATGTCTGTGGCTAAGACCATTCTGAAGCGTCTTTTCAGGGTGTATGCCCACATCTACCATCAGCACTTTGACTCTGTGATGCAGCTGCAGGAGGAGGCCCACCTCAACACCTCGTTTAAGCACTTTATTTTCTTTGTTCAGGTGAGCGGCCCAGGGGGACTGCTGAAGCTTTGTGCTTGGATTGCTTGCTTGAGGAAGGAGCAACAGGCCGCCCACCTGTGCTTCTCTCTCCTCCCCAGATGCCTATTTCATTGGCGTTTACAGCAACCTAGCAGGGCTTCATTCCCATTGGATGCCTCTGCCTCTGGCTGTCCATGGCCCCCTCCCCAGTTAGGATCTGTCCTTGAAGGATGTGGCCTGTTGCCTTATAAACTCTTAGTTATAATGGGAACATCATTATTATTATCTTGGTAACCAAACATTTTCCATTTCTACAGTCTTCACATGGATAGCTCAGTGACATTAATCATGACCCACGTGTTACTCAGCCATCACTGTTCCCAGGTTTTATCCTCACCTTTAACAAGAAGCTTCCTGTCCCCTGAGCATTGTGGCTTTTCTTCCCCCTCCCTCCAGACCTACTCCTGGTAACAACTAGTGAACTTTGATCTCTGTGCAGTTACCTGTTGTAGATAGCTCACAGCCCTCGTGGTGTGGTGGGTAAGTAGTCCTCCACTGCACATTGAAGTCAGCAGTTCCAACCCAGTAGCTGCTCCGGAGGAGAACGAGGTGACCGCTGCAAGAGCCCTGCGGAGCAGTGCCACTCTGCCACTGATGTCCAATGACCACGACGGAGTTGGACATCATAAAATACGTACCTTTTGGTGACTGACTTTAGAGTACGATCTTCTCAAGGTTCATGTGTGACAGCCTGTGTCGGGAGTCCATTTCTCTCTGCCTTAGGAGCAGTCCATTCAAATGGGAACTTGTCAAAGTAAAAAGAATTCATGTCATTTGAAAAAGAAACCAGAGATTATAGGACTCTGAGCCTACAGACATATAATTTTACAATGTATGCAAGGCATAGCCATCTCTCTCTCAGTAGAAAAACCTTGTAGCTTTATATACAGTACATTTGCTTGGTGTATCTGTGCGCGGTAGTCTTAAATGCTACGTGTGCATATTAACTAAAGTAAAGGTCCACTACCCCAAAAGTGACACTGATCAAAGGTTTGATAGTTGGTTTCCAGATCATGTCTGTGCATATTATAACATAGATGCACATAGTTTTGATTTTAATGGTTTGCGCCACGAGGGTCATGCTGATATGTATAGTTGCTTATGTGCTCTACTCCTACGTTTTAAAAAAGGGAATGAAAATCTTGTTTTTAAATGCTTACAGAGAATTCCAAATAATATTTAAAGAGGTTCCATTTATAAATAGTTTTCATTTTTAAATTTTCTTTTTATGTCTTTAGGAGTTTAATCTGATTGATCGGCGTGAGTTGGCACCTCTTCAGGAATTAATTGAGAAGCTTGGATCCAAAGACAGATAGACTTCTGTCTCTGCTAGAGCACAGTTACCTTCTTGCTTCATCTACAGCTCGAACTGTCTCGTTGCAACCTCCTATAGGACTAGTAACACAAACTGAGAACACGGATACAAGACACACCATGTCTCTCTCTACTGAGAACACTGTCCCAAAGGTAGGCTGGCCTGGTAGCATCAGAGTGAGACCTTAGGGGCCCAGCGGACTCTGCTGGTGTGTGATCACTCCTCCTTATTGTCACAGTGTCACCTTGGGTTGTGTTATGTGATGATTAACCTGTAGTTTATTAGTTTCCTTAATTCTGTTTACTGAAGAAAACTATGTATTCTGTTTCAGGTGACAGCATAATGGATATTAAGAATTTCTACCAATAATTTATTAACAAATTTCCAGAACAAATTTCTTAACAATACAATCTGATCCGTTTTATTCTGTTTCTGTTTACAAATAGAAAAGGTATTTTTAAGTTTAACATTTAGAAAGGAAAAAAAAAGTTTAACATTTAGAACATTTGTGTCACTTTGGTTTAACTTTTAAGTTTAAATTTGTATGCTAGTGTTTTTATAGATAAGACTGTATGTTTGTGTCTATTTTTTTAAAATCCATGCTTGCAATTTAAATCATATAGCATATGTGGTATGCAAACAGCCAAAGTTATTTCTAAAATGACTATTTTATATCTCTATTAAGGATTTTCGTAACATAAACACATCTTAAATTGTTAGGAGTTCGTGTGTGTTTGATAGTTTTGTTTAAAGTTTGTAAGGATGATCTTACAGATTTATTTTGATATGTTTAATTCCATTTAAGTTTAACGTGTAGCTTTTGACTAAAGGAAAGAAAGCTTTCCAAAAATCATGAAACTTAGGTTTCAAAACCACTCTGTTCATGCTGTGTCTCAAAGGCCTTCAAATTCCAGGCAGGCAAACAGAAGAAAGTACTTGAGTAATTTCACGTTTCTTTCGTTCTTTTTTTCGCTCACATCTTTGCTTTTATCATGACTTGACAATTAATGATAGTGGAGAAAGGCCCTCCAGAGATGGATTGACACAGTGAATGCAGCAGTGGGCTCAAACGAACCCTTGTGAGGACGGCCCAGGGCTGGGCACTGGTTCACACTCTTGTATAATGGGCTTGAAGCACCAACGACACGCACAATTTCATTCCAAGAAGGGCAACTTCAAATCACAACAAAAACACGAAGATTCACGTGTTTTATAATACAGTGAAAGATTTTGTACACTGCAGTGTGTGTGTGTGTGTTAAAATGGAATAAATTTTTAAAAAACCCTTCTGTTTAAAATAAAAGTGATTTGAGTCACTGTAGGGGTGGTATCTTGACTTAACTGTCCTTGAAGCAAAAGATGAGCTTATTAGGATAAAAAGAAAATCCCCACTTTAATGAAGGAGGAAATGACTTGTTTTTGTAGCAAAAGTTGAGCTTATAAATGTCTATTAGGATAAAAAGATTCCCACTTTAATGAAGGAGGAAATGCCCTTTCCTCATTTGGTTCCCAGGATTTCACTAGCTCCAGCTGACTGTGAACTCGGTTGAGGCACACGTCTGGTGGGGGCTCCCAATTGGCAGAGTTGACTCGCCAGCATTCTGCGTGTCGGAGCTGAGGGCTTGCAGGGTGCTCCCGGCCTCCTCGCAGCCCGCTAACAGATCCGAGAGTAAAAGTTCTTCTGTTTAATTTTTGTTTTCCCTATCTCACTAGACTATGGAGAATGGAGAAACACGCCCTATAATAATTCCGCAACAGTAAATTCTTTATACAGAAATGCAAAGGAAATGAAGCATTTCATCTAAATGCGGTCAGAAGCACATAAGATTGTTTTGAGTGGATAATCCCTTCTAAGAAAGAAAAAGCCCCGTGACACCTTCCAGACACGTGTGAAGCTTATACAGAGGCCCTTGTTAGCCGCTGTGCGCGCGCGTGCATATGTGTAGGCGGATCACTCAGAAAAAGGAAGCAGGTGTTTAGATGCCGCCTCAACTGGTACTGTCCACTTGACATTCAGCTTTGTTGGCTTTTGTTTCTTTCCCTCTCTGCAAGCAATGAGCTATTTCAGAACTCCGGGGACTGACTTTCCTCATCATTTCTAACTATTTGAGTATTCTCACCAAAAAAGTTTTCTCCCGTGTATCATAAGAAATCCTCCCTCTCTCCATGACTGAGCTCCCAAACGAACCAAAGACGGCCACATCCCAAGACGGCTTGCTGATGGGACACCGATCAAAAGTTGGTCGTTTGAGATTTAAAATCCCACCCACCCCTTTTATTAAAAAAATTAAAACATTATTACAGGGTTCTCAAGCCAAACAATGCTCTGAACATAGTTCAGAGGGTCAGGGCAGGAGGAGGATTTGGCTGAATAAGGAGGCTGGGCTGAGTGATCACGTACCAGTCTCTCTTTGGTTCCCTCATTTGATCTCACTCCAGTGCTCAAGGTTAGTGCAAACCCAGGGCCCCTGCTTCCCTCCCCCTAGCTAACCCAGGTCCTCACCTCTGTCCAGACCGGACCACAGGCATGCAGTGGAGAGTACTTGCTAAATTATATGGTTTATGGTGCTTTATTTTTCAGGCCCTTTTTTTTTTAAGTAAAAACTTTAAGACAATGATGTGTAGACTGTTTAAACATCAAGGCTTCCTTACCACAGTTTTTGTACTGACAGCCAAATATGTCCTTTATTCTTCAGATTGTGAATAAAATTATGTCAGTGGGCTGCCCGCTAACAAAGTGTTTCATCCAAAATTCCGAGTGCCCGGGCTTAAATTTGTAGCTACTCCCTGGAGAGATGCACACACGCCTGTGCTCACCAGGAAGGTTTCTAGTAGTGCCGGGCCGAGAGGGAAGAGCCCTCTTTGTGACTTGAACTGCTGCAGACATGGCTGGGGCCTGATTCTCTTGGTGTGCACCCTGAGCAGTGGGGCTGTGCTAGCAACCCAGGGAGCTTCTGGAACGTAACAACGCCGTTACCTCGTCAGCATAGCTCAGGCCGCAGAGTATGTACAAGTCTAGCCATCTGCTTCCAAGCAGCCCACCCTGCTTGTCACAGGCAGGGTCTCCTGTCAGTGAGAAAGCTGCTGGCTGGGACCCCAGGCCTGAGCACCTGCACCAGGGGCATTGGTCTTCCTGGCATTCACGCCAGCGAGCAGATTTGATTTTTACCTTTTTTGCTTTTGGCAAGGTGGGGAAACAGTCCTTTTCAGCCTTGTGTTTTTGCTACTTCAAAAGCCAGCCTTAGGGACAGTATTACCGGTGGTAGCAGTATTTTGTTGAAATTCACGTGCATTTGCTCTCATCACATTCTGCTCCGAACAAGTATTCTGTGAATCCAAAGAGGTTCCCAACATGTTACCTGGAGACTAGCTGTACAGCCACCTCCTGTGTTTGGTCAACATCAGAAATGCTTTGTATCAGTTAGTCTTGGCTACCATCTGAAATACTTGTAAGTGTTCTTTACATAAAAATGTACGTTGTACTTTTAAACTTTTTAGGGGCTTTGTCTATTTTTCTAAGTTTACTGTATGTACTTTTAAAGAAGTATTTTGTATCTACTTTTGTAACTGCATTGGAATAAAGTATATTGAAAAAATTGACTGATTAAAATGATTCTTAAACCTATCCCCGTTTAAATTTGGACACTTTAGATTTTAGTCTTGGTGCTCTGCTGTTGAAGAGAAAGGTTGGTGGTTCAAACCCACCCACCCCTGCTCAGGAGTAAGATGCGGCACTCTGCTTCCTCATTAGACTACACAGCCTAGGGAAAGCAGAGCTGGAATCCACTCGGTGGCGGTGGGCTTATCTTTGGAGTTGTGTAGGCCTGGTGGACAAGCCTCCTTCTCCTTCTCCTCCTCCTCCCCCCGAGCGGCAGCTGGACTCGAGGGAGCAGCCAGCATGGAACCACTGCGCCACAGGGCTCCTGCTGCATTGTGGACTGTGACTACAACTTCAGTTAGCTAATGTGTTTGTTTTGGATTTTTTAACTCGTAGGAGAAAGAGGAGAACCTAAGGGAACTGGGCCCCCCTCCAAGAAACAACCGGTCCCTTGACTATAGTGGCTCAAACCCAAGCCAGGCAAAAAGGGCGTGCTAAGCAAACTCTTGGTGTTTTTGTGTATTTCTGGTTGAAAGACAGAAAAGAGAAGGAACTGGACAAATTTTCAAATCTTGAAACAATATATAGACTCTCAACCACCTTCTCCCCATTGTAAGCATTCATTATTGTAGGAGAAATAGGACATTTTTAGAGATCCAAATTCGCTGCATTTGGGGCTTACTGAAAATAGTGCTAGAATTATCTTTTTTTCCTTTTTTAAACTACAGCTTTAAAAAAATTAATTGATGGTACCTAAATAATATAGGTGAAAAGTCATTTTGTTTACAGATATGTTTCATTTAGCCATCAGCTTTGGATTTTTCACAGCTCTATTTCAATATAGCAGGACTAAGGTGATCTGACCCGAGTAATGGTATTTTCAGTCACGTCATGTGAAAGTGGACATTGAATAAGGAAGACCACCACAGGAGAATCAAAGCATGTGAATTACAGTGCTGACGAAGAACATTGAAAGGGCTCCTTAGAAGCAAGGATGGAAAGACCAGTCCCTGGAGAAGGACAGCAGGGGCAACAAAAGAGAGGAAGGTCCTGGACAAATGGTCTGAATAGCAAAGGGATGTTTCCCAATGCCGCACTGGGAAAATACTAGAAGTTCTCTCCTATAGTGATTGCTGTTTTGACTTGACAAAAGGAAGACGTAATGCCCGGCCTATTTAATGACCAAATTCAAAACTCGCTGCCATCAGTCAATTCTGACTCACGGTGACCCTATAGGAAAGGGAGACCACCTGGCCCTGTGGGTTTCCAAGACTATATAACCCTTTGCGATGTAGAAAGCCTCCTATTTCTCCAGCAGACCCAATGGTGGTTTCAAACTGCAGACCTTGTGGTTAGCAGCCCAACGTATAACCACTGTGGCAGCACTGAGGGTACTGATGGAATGGCAAGCCCTGCAGAGTATCACCAGGCTACATGCCTGCAAACAGCCCGAGAAAAGGTCTGGGTGCAATTTTGGGCTGGACTTTGGTTGGACTTTCCTCGGGGGAGCTTTGTTAATGGGATCTTAGCTGTGTCTCACAACATCTGTTCCCACTACGTTCTCATGATTCCACGGTAGCTCCAAGCTCGGCCTCTTCTGTGCTGAGTCCTGCAGACAGACACCTTAAACTCAAACCCAGAACTGAACTCATTCCTTGAGTCCATGCCGACTCAGGCAACCCTTTGCAACGGGAGAACTGTCCCTGTGGGTTTCTGAGGCTAACTTATTTATTTATTTATTTTTTGGGGGTTTTTTTTGTTTGTTTTTTACATTTTATTGGGGGCTCATACAACTGTTATCCCAATCCACACACACATCAATTGTGTAAAGCGCATTTGTACATCATTTCTCAAAACATTTTCTCTCCACTTAAACCCCCGACATTAGGTCCTCATTTTTCCCC